TTGGTGCCTACAGGGCTCTCCGTGAGGGGCCCTGATACATTCCCTAACCTCACGGGCACCAGCATGAGCCTTCTTGATGCTTCCACATGCAGACATACGTAGGTGTGCATGCACACACATGTCAGAAAAGACATGTGCTTGGACCCTGGGGTCATGAAGCCACATATGTACACAAAACGGACAGGTCTACACACACAGGAGCACGAGCAGCAGCAGCTAGCTGCCTCCTGGGGGGCCCTCCAGCCTGCCCCATCTCCCCTGCCAGCTCCCCACACACACACCCTCCCCTGCTACCCACTCACTGGCCCTTTTGGTGCTTACCTTGGCTGGAGCATTTAGCAAAGCTGTTGTTGCAGTTCTTGCTGAAAATATTCCAGTCCTTTGTAAGGAGATTCTTGGTTTCATTAAAGACATTCTTGATCTTCTCCAATAGCTGGAGGGGTGTCTCATAGAAAGTTCGGACACAGGCCTGGAAGGGAACAGGGCCTTCTTTGGTGAGCATGACCACTGGCCCCATGTCTATTCTGTTCATCAAATTCCTCGGCCTTTCTCACTTTCGTATTCTTTCCCCTTATTGTTTCCACCCTCGCCTCTGCTCTGGTTTACAGTGGAACCAGTTCCGAGGTTGTGAGCCCTGTCATTTATTCATGGATCCATTTGGTGGCTATTTATATGCCAGACACATGGTCATTAAATCAGATAATGCAACGAACAAGAGAGAGGTGCTTCCCAGCTGAGGTAAATCAGATAATGCAACGAACAAGAGAGAGGCGCCTCCCGGCTGAGCTGGACACGGAGCCCTGCAGGGGCACTGGTGCAGGAACTGAATGAGGCTTCAGAGAGAATCTCCCCAAGGAGCCCACTGAAGGGTGAGCAAGAGTTACCCCGGAAAAGAGGTGAGATTGGAGAGAGTTGGGTAGGCTGTAAGGACAGACAGCATGGGTCAAAGGTCCTGAGGCAGGGAAGAGCATGAAAGCTCCGAAGACTGAAAGGAGGCTGGTGCCACCGCAGTACTGCCTTCTAGGAGGAAAATGGGGAGGGACGGGGCTAGACAGAGCTCAGCAAGGGCCAGGTCCTGCAGGGCCTTGCTGGCCATGTAAGAACGTTTCCTTTTCGCCGCACAGCAAAGTGACAACACCAGGAGGGTGAGTGGGGAGATAGGCAGTGGCAAGGTAAGAATTAAGTTTTAGAAAAAGCATTTTGCCAGGGGACAGAGAATGGCATGGGACAGGCCACAGGGGATGTGGGCTCTTGGTCAGGATTGCTGTGTCCTGGAGGGAGGGCTGGGACACCCAGTCCTGTCCACTGAGCTTGTCTCGTCTCTTCTCATCACAGGGCCCAGGCTCCCCACACCCCCTGGAGCTGAGAAGCTTCCCCCTCCTGGATTTCCTCCCACCTCTGGAGCTGCTCCTTCTCAGCCTCCTCCTGGGCTCCCCTCTTCCTTTGACTTCTAAATGCTGGCCTTCCTCAGGGTTCAGCCCTGGGCCCACTTCTCTATGCCAGGCCATGCCACCCATGCCCCCCACGTCATCTCTGACCTACTTGCAATGGCAAGGTTTTCCTTAAATTGAGCTATCCAGGGCAAAACTATGGGCTCCACTGGGCTGTGAGGTCCTGAAGGGCATTGCTGTGTCTTTGGCCGTGCAAACAGTAGGTCTTTAATAAACGTGATCAGGGCAGTGGCCTGGGCTTTCAGTGAGAAACCCAGGCTCAGCTCCATCTCTGCCAGTGGGGTGCCAACGACTACACTGTGTGGTGTGGGCTTATCTCCTCATCTGTAGAGTCAAAATAATAACCCTGCTAGCCTCCGAGACGCCGGGGCGATTATAGGACAGATGAGCTGGCCCTCTCTTGCCATCATAAACCTCCCTCATAGCTCACCTCATACGTCACAGGAATCATCAGACACAGGGCCCTGACGACCACCTCTCAACGGAGGATGCACCTTCCCTCCTAAGGAGCTCTGGATCCCTCCCCGCTGTCCTCTCAGGGGACTTTAATGATTAAAGTTCATTTATTTCTTTCTTCCATTAATGAGAGAGAAAGAGACAGCACCCCCAACAGGATCTTGATCCTGCTATCCACCCCCCACCTCACCCAGCCCCCATCATGGGCATGTACATGTCCGGCCTACTCAGGGAGATTGCCAGATGTGAGCCCGGAACCTTTCCAGAACCTTCTCCTGTGTGTCAGCCTCAAAGAGTGTCCAGTTTTTACCACTGCACCACCATCTGGCCTGTCTTCTTAGGAGACTCTTGTGGGGGACTAGCTACTCTGGCTTGAAGCTCCTCGGCGTCCCTCCCCCTGGAGCTCACCCCTCGGTATTCACATGTGTTCTATGGAAGGAAGACATATCACTATCAGTCATGGGTGGGGTGGATTCCTGGGCCATGCTCAGACCCAGTGAATCAGACTCTGGGGCTGCTTCCTGGGAATGTGCATTTTATTTTATATTTTAAAAACTGCTATAGGGCATGCATGCTTGCTGGAGAGAGAGAGAGAAAGACAGAAGGGGGATGGCCATGCTGCAATCCCTTCTCCTCCGTTCTCTTCTTGAGATCTTGGGCATGCATGTACATGTGCCAGGCATGTTTTCTAAGCCAAACTATACAGTTGGCCACGTGGGATCCAGCTGCCTTAACCAGCACATCACCTGCTGGCCTGGAATCTGCATTTTAAACAAGCTCAAGTGATTTGAGGAGCCTTAATAGTGGAAAAGCACAGATTTCACCCCTCTCCTGTTAAAAAATTCTTCCCTGTCCACTGCACACTCCCTCCGACTACATCTCTCTGTATTCCATCCCCTCATGGAGCCACATTCCTCCAGAGTGTTGGCTCCACCTCCTCTCTTTCTAGTCACCCAAATCCAGAAGCAGCCTCTCTGCTGCCAACTCCACTGGACACGTTATAGCCCTTATCTTGCTTGGCTTGCCAACCCCATCTGATAAAGCTGACTACTTCCACCATTAAATGCTTTTTTCATGAGCCCATGACACAGCACTCTCCTGGTTTGCTGCCCCCTCAGGCTGCTCCTTCTCTGTCTCCTTGCCAGGTGCTGCCCCCTCTGCCTGACCCCTAAGTTCTGGGGACGGCAGTGTTGTACAGCCCCGGCCTTGTGGATGGGCCCTATGCCCAGACAGCTCTGACCTGTGTATCCCCAGTCACTCTCAGAACCACACACCCCTCTGCCTGCTCCGTCCCCACTCACATGCATCTCAAACTGAGCTCCTGCTCTTCCCCAGCCTGCCCTGCTCACTGATCGTGCCCATTTCAGCATGATCCTCGAGGGGACCAGCAGGTGGCACGGTGGTTAAGGTGCTGGACTCCCAGATGGCTGACCATGGTTTGAGTCCCAGACTTGAAAAACACGCTGGATGTGTGTGCATGCATGCCCAAAATCCCAGGAAGAGGATGGAGGAGAAGGAATTGCCATCCTCCCTGGGCAATGATTTCTCCATTTTCCCTCTCTATCTCTCTCCAGGGAGTGCACGTGTCCTATGGCAAAAACCTTAAAAAATGAATGAACAAAACAAAGCAAAAAAAATCTATCCCTGTAGCCTAGTGGTTACATGAGCTGGCTCCTACATGGCCTAGTGCAGTACCAGTCCTGTCCCTACAGCTTTGAAAAACACACCCAGCATGTGTGTGTGTGTGTGTGTGTGTGCGCGCGCACGCGTATGTGTGTGCGTGCACATGCATGTGTGCCCCAAATCCCAACAGGATGGAGAAATAGAAGAAAAGGGATTGTGGTGTGACCCCATTGGGGGTGCTTTCTCCCTCTCCCTGTCTGTAAGGGAGTGCACGGAGCACATGTTTCCTATGGCAAAAAAAAAAAAACAAAAAAACAAACAAACAAACAAAAACACCCTTGGCTCTTCCCTCAGCTCCTCACATTCACCGCATCAACAAGGACCTACTGGTATACATTCACCTGCCTCCATCTTTGCTGCACCACCCTGGTCTAAGCCACCACCATCTCTGGCCTGAACTTGCGCCTCCTGCTGTTCTCCCAGCCTCCATCGTGCTCCCTGCAATCCCTTCTCCACCTCATAAGTGACGTTAAGTCACTCACCTGTTCACGATGGCTTCCCTTGCACTTAAGACAAAATCCCACATCACTGATAATGATCTAGCTCTTGCCTTCTGTCCTCTCTCCTTCTCTCCTCCCATGCCTGGGCCATGCTGATCACTCTCTGGGTCCATGAATGTGCATCTTCCCTTTCACCTTGGGGCACTGTACATAACATTCCCCATTCTGGAGAGCTGTCCCAGCTCATTGCTTTCTAACTGGTAACATCTTTGGAGCCCGGGTTTTAAAAAATTGATTTTTGGAGAGGTTTTTGCTATAGGGCATGTGTGCTCACCAGAAAGACAGAGACAGAGAGACAGAAAGCGATAAATTACCCCCCAGGGGGAATGGCCATGCTGCAATCCTTTCTCTTCCCTTCTCCCCTCGGGATCTTGGCCATGCATGCACACATGCCCGGCATGAGTTTAAACCAGTGGGTCCAGGATTGGAACTGCGGTCGACTACATGGGAGTCCAGCAACATAGCCATTATACCGACTGCTGGTCCCTTGAGTTAATATTTCTACTCAAAAGCCTTCCTGTCCTCATTCCTATTTAAGCTAGAGTGCCCTGTAACTCTGGGAGAGCCCCATGTGGTTCTTGTTCATGGCTCACCCCTCACCTACTTCTGGTCTTCCCTTCGCTGGGTCACTCTTCTCCAATGCAGTCATCGCCTCTTACGGGTCACATATTTTACTTATTTATTTTGTTCACTGGCTCACCACTCTCAAATGTAAGTGCCATAAATGTGGGGGGTTTTGTCTGTTTTGATCACAACTATTTCTTGGCGTCCAGAACAGTGCCTGGTACACAACAGGCCCTAGATAACTGTGGGGGGTTTTGTCTGTTTTGATCACAACTGTTTCTTGGTGTCCAGAACAGTGCCTGGTACACAACAGGCACTAGATAATGATTTGTTGAATGAACCATCCTCGGGGTGTGTAACGGTATTCACGGTGGCATTGTCTAACAGCTGCCCCCCTCACTTGACTACAAGCTTCATAAGGCTGGAAATCACGTATTTCAGTCCGGCTCACAGTGACATGGTTAAGCCCCAGCGCCGCCTCCTGCACAAGAAGTCCTTGGTAAAGGTTTGTGGAATGAATAAACAATTGAGAGAGTGAGCAATGCCACGAGGTGAGTGAATGTTCTCTGCACACATGACCAGGGATGGTACTGCCATTGCTGGGGCTCTGGCTGAGCACTCCTGGCTCCAGGGCCTCCTACCTTGTCATGCTCTCCATAGTCTGTGGTAAAGCAGCTCTTCAGACTCAGAGACAGTTCCTGCAGCTGCACGATGGTAAGGGCGTTGGGGGTGTTATCCTTGAACCGCATGGTGTCCTCCATGATGTCTTGTACCAGGAAAAACGCCTTCTTAAGGTAGCACACAGGATCGCTCTGGAAACAGAACCTGGAGCTTATGGCCTGGTTGATACAGCATGGGAATCTAGTGCTATGGCAGACGCCTCCATCCCAGGCAGCCTGCCTAACCCCTGCCCCTGGGGGCAGGGGCACACCACTCCAGGTGGTCTCTGCTTCCCCTCTTTGGGATCTAGCTACTGGGGAGAGATTGCAACAGGGCATGTGGGAAGGACATATGGATTCTGACAGAGAGCCTTGGACTTCCAGACTAGGAGGCTTTCATCAGATGGAGACACACAGAGAGGGTGGGCTTCCAAGAACCCTTCTCCCTCTCAGCTTGCTTTCACCACAATCTTTTACCATGTAGCCCCTTCAAGCCCTCCAGAATGTAGGGAGTACGAAGACTACCTCAAGGTCCAAAGAAACACCTCAATGTCTTGGCTCCCTAAAGAGACGGTGGTTGCCTCAGATAGCTTTATGTCCCTACCCGAATTCGGGAGATTCTGGGGAAGTGTGAGGGCGAGGGAGCGAGGAATGAACACCAGGCGAGACCACCTGGGCTTCCTCCTGAGCGATAAGGAGTCTTGAGGGATGTGGAGGAAGGAAATAAAAGTAGCAAGTTGGGGTTTCATAAAGCTCCCCCTAGTGGCGAGATGAGAGGAGGGCTGAAAATACGGAAAACATAGTTAAGGAGGCTCCAAAAATTGTCCATGCAACTGCTTGGAGCAAGGGGACAGAACCCAGAGCTGCTGGGAGGCAGGGCCAGCAGCCTTTGGTGGCTGGTTGAGTGTAGGGTAGCGGGAAGGGATGGACTGCCTCCCTGGCTGCTGGTCTGTGGGTGGATGGAGGCGACATCCTTAAGCAAAGCAAGTAACCTGGAAGAAGTATTGATTTGCCTTAAGCCTTAGAGCCAGTCTGCCAGCCACCACTTACCAGTCTGCTCCCTTAACCTCTCCGTTGATTGATGATGAGGATGATAAGCAGTATTTGCACGCCACATTGTAGCACCATTGGACTGAATTAGAAAAGTGCCTGGCATATCGTAAGCACTTACATGTGCCAGGCCAGGAGAAGGGTTGGGCAGGGGATTGAGCCCTGGCTCCTGACTAGCCCTGGGTCCTAGCCCTCTGGACTTGAGCACTAAGGGATCCGCACACCCTCATCCTGTGCAGCTGTAGAATTTCTGCTGCCTTCATGCTCCCACGTGCACCCCACCCTGAGAGGTGTACAGTTGGGCACATGGCCTTACAAATGCCATCACTCACCAGCTGCTCCCGGTCTACGAACTCAAAGGCAATTTGGCACGAGGTCTCCATTTGACTGTCAATCTGTAAGAGAGAGCAGGCCAGTGGTTGCAGGTGTCTAAGCTCAGCCAAGCTTGTCTCAGAATAGGGAACTTAGTTTCTGGGTGGGTCAGGCTTGGATTTCATCTGCCTCCTCATAACCACACCTGGAAAGACAGAGCCAAGGCAAGGGGAAGATCTGTGCCTCCCACAGTCCCAGGAAAGGGTTGGAGAAGCAATGAGAAGTCTCTTCCTTCTACCTCCCACCCCGTGAGATCTGACAGATGCCAGTTTGTTACAAGGAAGATCTATCGAAGGATATAGGATATAATCGTCCCTGGAAGGTGGTGAGCACTCTGTCAGGGCAGGAATTCAAGCAGAGACTGGACGAATTCTGGCAATTCAGGATCTGTAGGGGCTGGGGCTAGCTCCCCCTAAAGCACCTGCGAGCCCCCATGCAGTGGTTCTTGTGCAAAACCTCAGGGAAGGACAAGAGTTGTGGTTCTCATCTACCATGGATTGCTGCCTGCTTGCAGTCTGGGGGGGCGAGAGAGGCAGGAGGCCCAGCCCACAGGTCCCACGCTCAGGGCCCTAGAGCTAGCCCTAGCCCGTGGTGTCCCACCCTTCCTGGCTGGCCACAGGGATAGCAATTTCCCTTTGAGCAGGACAGCAGCCATGACAACAACCTGATTCTGCCTGGCAGGACCGTGTTTGGAATTGCTGACAGTTCTGTGGACCCAATTAAAATGAGACATGGGATCCTTCATGGTCAAGATGAGCAGGCCATTCTAGCCTTAGGGTGTGGACAAGACCAGAGGGCAGAGGACTGGGAGTTAGGCAAGAGCCTCCTCTGCAAATCTGGGCGGGGCTCTGGTGCCAAGCTGGCGGCATATCTGGGATTCCAGGAGCTGGAGGCAACATCTGGACACAGCAGGCAGCCTGGGATGGCTTCCTGGAGGAGGTACCCCACTGAGGGACAGCAGGTCTTGGAAGCCTCTGCAGAGCCCATTGCTGACATTCCTGGGCAATCATGAACCCAGGCAAAGGGGAGATGACATTTCTGCAGAGGAGTCAAAGAAGGTTTCAGGGTTGGGGAGACCTGAGGTCCTAACCTTGGGAAGGTCAGTGAGGGGAGTATCAGAGGAACTAGGAATGAACCACAAGCGATGTCCTGCACAGCCCTGTTTCAGGGCCTGCAACCCCTCTCTTTAACCATGCTCCTTGGCTCCTGTCTGGGTTTCCCCAGTGGGGAGAAGAAGGGGGAGGCATGGCTACACACTCACCAGCTGCTGCAGAACTTCCAGGTGTCCGTTCCCAATCATGTTGCTACAGTGCTCCGACACCTCCTGGGTAATGGTCCGGCTCACCAGGAAACAGGCCAGCAGCAGCCAGGGGCCCAGCCATGTCTGTGACAGAGGACACGATTTCTCCCCAGCTCTCACTCTCCCCGGTACCCGCCCATGCACTGCTCAGAGTGCAAAATCAAAGACTGCAATGCTACAAGTTCTACCCTCACCCCAGGATGCAGCGGTTCTCAAATCCAGCTTTCCCAGGATTTTCTACCAGTTACAGCACCTCCTTGCTCACCCTTGATAACAACCTAAATGCCATCTTCTCCAAGAAGCCTTCCCAGATTAACCTAGGCCAAGTCTAACTGCACACCGAACTCCTAATGGCTTGTCACGAGTGGCTTGCCTATTGGTCTGAATTTTAATTACACAGGAAACTTCTCCAGGGCAGGACTATGTCTACCCATCACTCTTCCTGCAACACCAGCACTGAGCCAAGCACCTCGTAAGCAGCCCACAAGTTCACATTCATGTACAAGCTGGAGACACTTTCCCTGGCCCAGCCCTTCCTCCCACCTGCTTCCATGAAGGTCTGGCTCTGTCACTGGAAAAACTGGGGGACCAAAATCAGTTCACTTGGAACTGATTCCGTGAGAGACCTCCTGGAGACCCAGGTGTGTGTGTTTCAAAAGGAGCCCGACTAATTAATCAGAGGCAGTGCCAGCTCGGCCATCCCTGGCTGGCACCTGCCTTCCAGAGCCGCAGCAGGTTCTATATGCAGTCAGCGAGCTCTTGTGGCAGGGATATTTACTGAGTGAGATCTGTCCCTCTTTCAGCACCCACCTGACCCAGAAGCTGCTCAGCTCCAGAGTGATGGGATCGGCTCCTGATGCTCAGTCTTTCCCCTTCCTTCCTCCCTTCCTCTTCCTCACCAAGGTCCCCTCATCTCTTTTCCTAGGACTCCCTTTCTCTAGCCCCAGGCAGAGGGACTCGTGGGCTTTCTTTGCCCAGCTTAAGTTTGCCTCCTGGGAGCTCCTGAGCCTCCTGGCAGTCACTGCCCCCAGATTCAGGGAAACACTGGCAGGGTGGGGTGAGGGCCGGCACTTTCCTGGGCTCTGGGCTCTGCCTGGGTAATCCAGATGATGAAACAATTGCTGCAAATAAATAGCACATTGGAAAAACACAGGGAGGCTCAGCAAGTCCACAACGCACGCTGACTTACATGTAACTGAAAGGCCAGCCGCTTGGCAGCTCTGACCAGGGAGAAAAGGCAGCGCTGCTGGGCTAGCAGGGAGCTTGCAAGGAGGGGACCTCAGGAGGCCTTGAAAGATGGAGAGAAGTAGACAGCAGGAGAGGAAGGGAGAGGTCTACAGGGAAGAGGCACTGGATGGTCCAGTGTCATTCAGCACAAGGACTATGGGGCTCTGGCCTCACCTAAAGGAGGGTGAAGTGGAAGAGGGGGAGGACAGCCATGGAGGGCAGTTACTTCAGGCTCTGTCGGGCGGTTAGAGAGGTAGCCCTTGGAGGGAACTGCTTAGTCCCTCAGTTATCTCAGGGTCAGGGCCTACTGGAGGACGCTGAGCCTTGTGAAAGTTGCCTCTGCCCAGGCTGGCTGCCACTGAGGCTCTGAGACCCCGGTGTGAATGCAGGAGGAAAGGATGCTCAGGAAGAGACCCTCACCGCCGGCACTTCATGATAACCTTGATGTTTGAGGACCACAAGGTGAAGATAATGCCTAACCGCAAGGGCTGCCTGGCTTTCTGGTGATATTTCGGGCACCGGCACGGGGAAAATGCAGCTGTCACATGGAAGGCTGACCCTGAAGGGGGCCAGAGTGGGCCATCCCTGGACCTGGGGCTCTGGATCTTCCTCAGATGAGGATCTGGGTGGGTAGCCAAGGGTTAACCCTGGAGTTCACATAGGCTGGGCAGGCTCTTCTTCCCTCTTCCTCCTTACCCTGACCCTGTGCCCGTGGGGGCTGTCCTCCGAAGGAATCTCCACTGAGCCTCAGAGGTGCGAGGACATCTCAGTCCTGCTGTCTGTCTTCTTCTGACACCCATCCTGTTCCACCTTCTCCCTGGACAACTCTCTGCAGAGCCTGGCGTGCCTGGATACTTACACCTGCCTGGATGTTTGCCTGCCCTTCCCTCAGTCTCACCTCCAGTCCCCTGACGTTCTCCTCACCCTTTCAACCCTGTCTCCTTTCTCTGGCAGTAAGGTGCCTCCTCCCCTGCGAATCCATCCTGTCTCCTCATCCGGCCTGTGACCCTCGTTTTCTGCTCTCCCCACTCCAGGTTTCTCCCCTCATTGTCATCTAGGGCTCCTCAAAAGCAAGGCATCGTGGGACATTTACCAGTCATTAATAGTGCCACCCTGCACTTTCTAGAGCTGCAAAGTCTCCCGTCACTGTTGGAGTACGTGTCCCCTATGCTGTGCTGAGCAGCCCTGCCCCGTCTGCAGCTCTGGGAAGCCCAATCCTCCTTCCACCTCCCTCAGTCATTCTGAATCTCAGGGTCTTCCCAACTGATTGAACCAGATTCACAAGAAAAAGAGATTCTGTGCTAAACCCCAGGCAGCAGTGGGGTTTGATCCCCCGACCTCCAAAAGTCTCCCAAGTCTCCAACATCTGCGCGAGAGCAGGAACAAATAAATAGTTGCTTCCCGGTCTCCGTTGCATTGCCAGCAGGTTGCTCAGCACAAGCCCTGGTATCCTTCATAAGCTGGACGATCCCTGAACTGTCCCCACCCAGAATAACCCACCTCCAGCAGGGCTTTCCAGCACGTGCGGCCCTTGAGGAAGATGCCCACTGGAGAAGGAGCCACGCTCAGGCACTGTCCCTTGCCGCTGGCTGATCAGAAAGGAGACAGGCACCCTACCCTGGCTGATACCAGACCTCCTCCGCCCGCTCAGGGCTGCGAATCCCCTGTCTTCTGCCTGTGGGTGGCTCAGTATTCCCTTCCGCGCAATGGGGTGAACAGCCTTCCTTCTCCCCAGAAAAGCGGCGAAACCCCAAGAAGCCTCTGCAGAGCCGCCACCAGCCTCATTTCCAGCGCGGGAGCAGTCGGTGAGCAAAAGCGGTTAGCAAAGAGGAGCCCGCGGCCGCGGCGGGAACGCCTGGGCAGCTGGCGCGCCCCGTTGTCTGCTCCAGGGACCGCTGACCCCCCA